AGTCAGGAAGTGCCACACAGCACAGGAGCTCCACCTGGGGGACCTCCCTTGCTGGCACTCAGTCCTATTCTCTGCACACGCTGGAGGATCTGCACAACACATCTGGGTACCCCACCCCACCTCCTTACCCTTTTACCCCTTTCATGACAATGTCAAATGACCTACCACCAAAGGTGGTACCTCTCTCCCCAGATGAGGGGACAGACCCCTCTTCCCTTCATGACCATTCAACTTGGACCAAAGAAGACGGGAGTGTGGCCTGGGGGTCATACGAATGCCGCAGAGCTTACTGAGGGTGTGGACCAAAGGACTTCTGTGCTTTTCTTTAAGTTGGGTTCTGTATTCCAGGGATTGCTTTAGTTGTGCTGGCTCATTCGGAACTAGATTTTCAGGATAAGCCATAATGCCACCCTTTGTTAATGGACGATGGCATTTATTTGTAATCTTTACCACCATAACCCAGTTGAAATATAATACAGTGTCAATTAAATATACCATGGACCATATTCTAGTGAGGCAACCTTACAGTGAGGTCATTTTGGAAATTTAGTAGCCAATTCCATTCTGAATCTTCTGTTATCTTTGAAATATCATTTTGGGGCACTGATTTTTTTCCTTAAATTATGTAGATCATAAAACAGAATGGTTTTACTGTGTAATTTTTCTTAGTTATAAACCATGTGTATTATTTAATAAAAGAAATAGCTAGGGTATAATATAGGTTGGGGCACATAAAACAAAATTCATTTTATACCATATGACATTAAAGAGTGAAGTGTTATATGCATTTCCTTCATTGCAAGAGCATGTAAAGGCACTGTAAAAAGATATGGCACTGAGTGTAAATGTGTTACTGTCAATAAAAGAGGATGAGGTCCATAGATTACGTGTGTGTGTGTGTGTTTAAATACATAGTTTCGACTCTGTTTTACAGCCTAGGGTATCAAAAAATTAATCCATCCCCCCCCCCCAAAAAAAAGCCAAAAATTTCATTTGATCAGTGACTGTCTAAATTAAGGTAGACATGGTCTCTCTGAGAAATAAGCCTAGGGTTATCAGAATGGATGAGTAAAATGGACAGTTGGTGATCAAGTCAGAATCTTGCATTTAAAAAAAAAAATAGGAATAAGCTATTGACGAAAAACAGACCACCTAATGCCAAAAAGTAAAGTGGCTTGGAAGAAGAACATATTGTCAGGTGAGTCAGTGGCACCACACACAATGTCCCCTAACTGTGCCTTGCTGGTGGCTTACCAGTCAGAGATGGTATGGCTCTCACTGTGTAAAAATGAAGAAACAACATCTGAAACAATAATCTGTCTCCTGTAAGTCTGACTGGTGTGGGTTCCTTTGCCAATGATGCGAAACCCCCACCAAGCAGTGCACCTGTCTGCAGGCCACGCCCATCATAAATGCCCTGCACACACTTTGACTGGAAGTACATAAATCAAGGCCCACAAATTACATGTACTGCCGCAGTCTGGCTGGGCACAATTCAGGAGCCACTTGTCAAAAGAAAGGAACTTTATTTTTAGAACCACACATGCCAAACAAAACAGCTCCTCAGGAAAAACCCTCAGAGCCCAACTGCCACCACCGGCTTCCCACAAGCCTCTCAACCTCCCCCACTCCTCCTGCTCTTGAGGCCGATTGGCTGGGTCATGTGGGCGGAGCCAAAAAAGTCCCCCAATGAGCAGCTCCGTGGTCTGAAAGGGCAGGGAAACAGCCCAATGAGCATCACTGCAGAGGAGCCAATCAGCTAGAAGTTGCTGGGGCCGCTGTGAGCCAATCATCAGCTGGCAGTCTGAAAGTTTGCTGGGGCCCCTTCGGCTGTGGCTCTCAACAATGTACACCCTTCCTCCTGTCTTTCTACCACCGACCTTCCTTTACTTCCTTCTCACATATTTCTGATCCCGCTGGTCCCTCCTTGCCATCTTCTGAAAGCCAAGACTCTCATTGTCCAGCTGGTTGCCCAAAACCCTTCAAAGCAGTCTCTATCACATCTTCTACAAGTACTCATTCTCTACTTCAGGTAGGTAGGAGTCCCGAAACTCACATAAAGGGATTTGTTCACACTTACATGTAAATAATTGATATTTCTCCTTCTCTACTCCTTTAAGGATATTTTCTGGTTCAGCAATCACATTTCTAATATATGGAGTACCAGCAGAGATGCTTGGGCAGGGAGCCTTCCTTTACCTCACCCCATAAAACTCTCTCCCAGGAGAGCCAATCAAGAATGAGCCTCACCTGCTGGGCAGTACTCCTCCAGGCCACCCAGATCTTTTCTGGCAGCCTGGTATAAAATTTTTTGTCTTTTCTTAAATTTCATTTTGTATTAACAGGCAATAATTGTACACACTTGTAGAGGTTCAATGCAATGTTTCAATACATGTATATACAAAATGATGACCCAAGGTAATTAGCATATCACCTCAAACATAATTTCTTGATAGTAAAACATTAAAAATCCTCTCTTCCTAGTGTTTTTTAAATATATGATGTATTATTATTGACTATTATGGTTTGAATATGAAGTGTCCTCCAAAAACTCATGTGTTGAGGCCTTGATCCCTAGTGGAGTAGGGTTCAGAGGTGGGCTTTCACAAGTGGATCATCAATGGATTAATCCATTCATAGCTGAATGGACTACTGGGAGGTAGTGGGCCATGGTTGGAGGAATTGGGTCACCGGGGCATGCCCAGGGAAGGTATTTCTTGACTTCATCCCCTTCCATTCTCTTTCTGCTCCCTGACTGCCATGAGCTAAGCAGCTTTGCTCTATCATGCCCTTCCACCATCATGTTCTGTTTCACTTCAGGCCCAAGGCAATGGAGCCCACAGACCGTAGACTTAAACCATGAGCCAAAATAAGTCCTTTCTCTAAATTGTTCTTCTGAGGCATTTGTCACGGCTACAGAAAGCTGACTAACACACTGACTGTAGTCACCCAACTGTGCAAGAGCAGAGCACACCAGAACTTATTCCTCCTAACTGTAACTCTGCACTACGCATTGACCAACTTCTCCCCCCCACCTCCCCACTTCAGCCTCTAAGAACCATTGTTCTATTCTCTATTTCTATGAGATTGACTTGCACATATTATTCACATGAGTGAAATCATGGTGTATGATTTCAGCTCTACAGCTGGCTATTTCATTTAACATATGTCATTCATGTCCTACCAAGTTGTCACACAGGACAGGATTTTATCTTTTTGTGGCTGAATAGTATTACATTGTATCTATATAGCACATTTTCTCATTCATTTATCCACTGATGAACACTTAGGTTGGTTGTTTATCTTGGGTATTGTGAATAGAGCCGCAATAAATATGCAAATGTACATCCCTCTTCAAATTATCGAGGTTCCTCAAACAATTAGAAACATAAGTACCCTATGATCCAGCAATCTCACTCCTGGGAACAGACCCAGAGGAAATGAAATTAGCCTGAGCTTAATTTTGCTTAATATTTGTTTTTCAGTAAAAGGTAGCAATATTTAGTGTGGGAGAGAAAAACTCCTTCTTCTCCAGTGGAATTTGGGGCCTTAGTCCTGGTTCTAAATAACTTTCTCAGAGTCATCTGTCACCCAGCAGTTAACACATACATGAACAACAGATCTCTGCATCAGACAGAAGAGATCTTACCCCCTCTATGGATTTAGGGATCCTCATGGCAGTCTGAGTCATTTTTCTGAATTAATTGTGTAAAATATATAACTACTCACCATTTGTTACTAAGAAGCAACAACACAATATTGTTAATGTAGAATATATATGTGTGTGTGTGTATATATACATATATATACACACACGGAGATATATAGATATTTTATATAATATATAACATTAATATAATGATTATAGATAATATCTACATATTTCCACATAACTTCAGCTTTTGATTATAATGCTAAATATTAGACATGCTCATATCACTTACTTGGATGTTATCTGCCAATGTATTATGTCCATTCATCTCTTCACAACTTGAAGTTGCTTGGTTCTTAGTTAGGTAGAGCTCAGTAAACAGACCTCCAAACTCAAGAAAATGCAGTGAGTGTAATGATGTATACATTCTTCTTAAAGCATCGAAACCCTTTCTTGGTGTTTAACAAAGTCAGTTAATAAAAAAGGAGAACACACAGGCCCATACATATGTACTATCCATTTTGGTTATCTAGCCTAAAAGTGCTTGGAGGGAACAAGAATAATGCTAATGAATTTCAAATAATAAATGATTTTTTTAAAAAAAAAATTCTGTTTAGCTTTACAATGTGTTTCTCTACTTCTTATAATTTGTTTTATTGTTTTGGGAACATTTTTGCTAAAAAGTGAAAAAAAAGCTACAAAATTAAAACATGAAAATTATGTTTATTTCCCTCTCCTATTTCCCAATTTTTGTTGTTGTTGCTGTCTTAAAAATAATTTTATTATAAAAATTATTACTTACACTGTCATAATTGGAAATGACCACACATGATCAACAATTTCATTCCACCACTCATAAAATACCATGCCCTTAACAATCCAGAAAATGGGGCATTTGTCTTCTTTTCTACAAAGAAAGTGCTCCCTTCTCAAGTACTTCCAATTTTCTACTGCATGTGGAGACCAAACACACTTTCATTCCCAATACCAACATATGAAAAAGTGTACATTCTTCTCTCCTCCTCCTTCTTTGAACTTGCTCTCCTCTAGGAAAGCTAGAGAAAATTCAAGAGCTTAGATTCAAAACTCCATCTCTTTCAGGCCCTGCCAGGATTTAGCATATATGTAAGATTTAAAGTAAGCAGAGATAGTAATGTCAAATTCGAGCTACTTTAAAAAGCTGACTAGATAAGAAAGTCAAAAGAAGCCAAAAGTGAAATGTATCCATGCAAAAACTGCAATGTAGACAACCATCCGTGAATCACTGGAATCAGACAGTGCATGGAGTTGGAAGTGTTTGTATTTCTCTTACAATGTTATTCAAACCCCAAAGAATGAGAGAAGAAAACCACATCTTTACCTTGTTTATTTAATAATACTTTTAAATGATCATTATGACCTGCCACAGCTCAGTTAATAATACAATGTCATGGTACTTGTGGTAGAGGAAGAAGAATGAAGTGCTCCAAAGGAAATTCTACAAAGGGAAAAGAATTACTAACCCCAATAGTAAAATATATATTTACATATATACACAGAAAAGTATCTTTGTAATCCATTTTCAAAATGTAAATCTAAATGATATAGTCAAAAGGAATTAAACATCAGTTATATTTAAAGTACCAAAATAACAATTGATGTCCAAGGTTTAATTCACATTGCATTATAGTGATTCTGTCAACCACACACCAAAATTACATTTATCCATTGGTTTCAATCACTGGGTTCTGTCTAAAGTATACTTTCTATTCAAAACAATATTGTACTATTCTTTTCACACACCATACTCACCACCTATTGACTCTAGAAAAGTTAAGTGCAAAATCACACACTCTAAAGAAAGTGATTCACTAGCTAAAGAAACAAGGAAGGACACATGGAGGGCTCATCACTGTTTCTCCAGCACCTGGCTCAGGGCTTTGCATGTTGTAGGTGTTCACTAAATGTATGGTAGGTTGAGCTAAAACTAGACCACAAAGATGAACAACTATTTAGTCCTTGACTCAGTAGATGATAGCTCCCTGAAACCAGTAAATGAGAAAATTCTCTCCAGTAGACAAGTTCTGCAAATTCAGACACTAGTTGGATTTTGGGCTTTAGTAGTTACATATTTAAGATAATTGATTTAGTGTTTTTAAATGTCTTTAAGAAAGGAAATGACTGAACTTTTGAAATAGCACAGGAAAATACTGAAAGTTCATTTAGCATTGGCATGACTATATCAATAAGACTTTTAAATAAAAATTATTTGTTGCTTGGTATTATCTCTAGTGCTATTAAAACAAGTATGATAAACAAATCAGAAAGTAGAATCCCCCAGGGTCAAACTGAATAAATAATAATAAAACCTTCTACAGTAATTTGCAAATGATGATACCACATTATATTTGATTCTTGATACAGAAGTGCCCTACAACCATTGACCCCTATTAAATAATAATGTAGGTTTGCAATATGCAATGTAATTTTCAGTACATTAGGAAAAAAAGAAAACAGTAAAAATGTTACATATTCCAAAAGGAAAAACAATAGGAACCAAAATAATAATAATATCTAGGAATTAGTTATTTTTCACTGGTAAAATTGATAGGTGGTCCTGCTAACCTTTCCCCTAACAAAGTATTTTGAGTGGAAAAACTCAAGTTTCAATGCTTAATAAATTAATTTAGTCAAAAATAAAAGAACATTCAACCATTTTATTTCTTAACCTTGGTGATACATTCATAGATTTTCATCACAGTATTCTTTCTTTAAATATAGTTTTATGGTTATACATAGAATTGGTTTCAAAACAATCTTCTTGATGTATTTTTGTATGTCTCAAATATTGCATAATAAAAATGTTGTAAGTAAAAGATGAATTTTTTAAGAAGTGAATAATATGATGTCATTTTTTAAGGGATAAATTATCAGGTATTTGTTCCTCATGGAAACTTTGAAAGGAAAAAAGTTAAAACTTCAAGTGTGTCTTGTGGGAAGAGATTGACAAACCATTGAATAGCTTTCACCTAGTAGACTTCCTGTTCATTTTCATATGGGTCAAATGTTCATTCTAAGGCTTAATACTTACCTGTTTCCTCCATGTATTCAATTTTTGGAACTTGATATTTCCCACAAGAAATATGGTAACAGTGTCCAAACTCAAGGTGACAAAGGAACTTTGCATTAATAAGGAAAATTTAGAGCTGTAGTCAAATTTGGAGGGAATAAACTATCCCTTTTCCATATACTGAAAGTCTTTGAATATGCCGGTACCTAAGTATTATAAAACCTCCTAATTTGGGAGAAAAACGTAATGCTTTGTAGTTTCATTTTCATACTAATGACTACCAAAGTTTTTTTTTTTAGTTAAAATATTCAGTTTAAAACTTCAAAAGCAAATCTATTCTATTGATTCTGGTACCGCTGACTGACTTTAAGATGGTCAATGACAAACTGAAGGATTTCTGAGCTCAGTGGAAAGGACAACCAGAGACCTGAAAAACAGATTTATGAAGAGCTAGAGAAACTGCAGGTGGTGGCCTCAAGAACAGAAAGCTTGGGTAGAGAGTAGGCATGATAACTTCCTCATATGAGCATTAGACAGGGGCAGAACAGATAATTCAATGAATGAATGAACTAAACAAAGTTGTAACAGAAAAGCACTCATGTGGAAGTGAGAGAACAGAGCCATTGACAGCAAAAACCAGGACTTATTTCTTTGTATTCCTGGTGTTTGATACCATGCCTGGTACATAGTGCTCCTCAATTAATACCTAATTGAATTATGGCTCAATCACTGATCACCATATTGGACTTAGACTGTTCCAATCCAATCTTGGAATGGGTTGCCTTATAAATAATGAGCTCTCATTTCCTCTATACAGATTCTGCTATGAGCCAGGCTCTCAGCCAAGCAATGAAGCCAGAGGCTAAATAGCTATCAGCAGAGATATTGGGAAAAGACTCTAAGTCCCTCCTACTTCAAAGAGTCTTCCTAACACCAAATATTGAGTCCAATGTTATATTTTCAAGCCAAAGAGCCTGGTATAGTGGATTAAAACCCACAGTTTTTCAGTTTTTATTGTTTTTAATCAAAACTCCAAAGGGATTATCAGGACTTCAGGGCAGACACCCTAGAAGTGACAGTGTTTCCAGCAAGAGGGTTCCAGACTGAGAAGCACAGATGGTTAAGAAGCATAATTAACAGCTCATCCTCATCTCCAGCCAGTCTCTTCTTCAGGGTTCCAGCATTTCCAGAATACTCTCAAGTCAGTATGTTGTACCATCTTTGACTCCTTGCACAAATAAACTACACACCAAAACACTCCCACGAGCACAACACAGAGATGTGTGTGCATATCTTAAGAGTGCCACTTTTCCAATGCTACTTACAACTCATGAGAGGGTAACATTAAATTACCTTAGCAACTCCCAATCAACATCTATTTCTCATACAGAATGAAATGAAAAAGCTGGAATATATTAGAAAATATCAGAGTGCCTCACATGCATAAATATACATTGTTTCATGGATAGTTTGTTTTATAAATGTAGATATTGTTGCAGATATGTGTGAATTTCTTGTGGGCTAAAGTCCAGAAAATTTAAGAGCTTCTGTTATAAAAGATAAGAAAGACAACAATTGTAGTTAACACCAAGGGCCCTGGGTTAGACTTATTAAAATATGAATCCCAATTCCACCACTGATGTGCTCAATCATCTTGGAAAGCCTGCTTCCTTGTCTATAAAATGGAGGAACCATACAACACAGTGCCTGACATCAATGAACAACAGATGAGAACTTTAAAGAGTCTATGAGGCCAGGCACAGTGGTGCACACTGGTAATCCCAGTGGCACGAGAGGATGAGGCAGGAGGACCACGAGTTCAAAGCCAGCCTCAGCAAAAGCAAGGTGCTAAGCAACTCAGTGAGACCCTGTCTCTAAATAAAATACAAAATAGGGCTGTGGATGTGGCTCAGTGGTCTAGTGCCCCTGAGTTCAATCCCTAGTATCCCCCAAAAAATCTGTGAGGATTACCCATTTTTATGGGTTTCTGGGGTTCTTGGGGTAGAAGCAGTTGGTTGCTCAGGTGTCAGCATACATGCAGATTTATAAGGAGGAGTCCAGGATCTATTTAGAAAAGATTGTTCCCTACCTGCACAAGCATGGAGTTTGACTCTTAAATACCTGTGCTGGGATTTTGCAGTTACAGAAACATCAGAAACCAAAACTCCTTATTATTGGGCTAACAACCAGAATAGAGTGTGGGGAAGGGAAGGGGTTCTTCCTCAAACAGGGGTCAGGCATGGGGAAATTTAATTTTCTGAAGTTATTGACCAGCAACTTGATGTTCATCCCAGCAACAGGAGCCAACACAAAAGCCCCAGGACTGCTGCCATGGCTCAGGCAGAGGCTTCTGGAAGAAAGGACACAGGTTCTTTTCTGTCCCTACAGACCCCACGATTTCCAAGGAATACCCCCCACCAAGTCTCACATGCCTTCTCTAATGAGTAGCCTATCATTATTAAGAACCTCCATGATGTTGCCAAGGGAACAGAATGGCCTCCTGCCATCTCTGTCCATCTCCACGTGTAAAGGAAAGGTTAGGAAGGAGATCAAGCATGAAAATATGGAACTGGGGAAATAGAGGTAACATAGGGAATCAGAGAGAAAAACAGCAACACAGGCAAGAAACTGAGGAAAGCAGTTATAGGAAGAGAGACGAAGGAAAATGGTGTGTGTGTGGGGGGGGGGGTGGTGTTTAAAAAGCAAACCAAAAAATAAACAGAAGATAAAAGTAATGGAAGAAGCTATGAGGACAAGAGACCATCCCTAATTCCAAGCAGTGCCCTGGCATGGCAGATGACAGGACAATGCAGAGATAGGGACTTTCTCAATTCCCCCTGCCCTTTCCTTCCTCACATCTGGTCTTCAAGCCTAGCTTCTATCAGGACACAGGCCCAGGGCCTTTGGAGAAATAAGCTCCAAATGCTGATATATCCCAAATGGATTTGGGACAAACACCTCCATCCTGCCTTCTACTGCCAGGAGCCACCTCAGGAATCCCCATTCCTGATCCTTTTCCCCCCACCTTATGGCTCCAGCTGTCAAGCAATTCACACTCACCATAGTCGCACACTGATCATTTTCAGAGATGCCCTTTCCTTGAGTTCTATATGATGCCCTTGTTCTGATACTTTGGGGCACATTCAGATATTTTTCTGAAGGCCTTTGGGGCTAATTATAATCCCTCACCCTAGAGAACTCATGAATGATTAAAAAACAGAGGGCTTTAACAATCACTTGGTCTGATATCCTGGGAATTATCCTGGTTATTTGCAAAGGAACCCCTGTCTCCTAGTGTTGCTACAGAGGATTTGCTCCCTCTCTGGCATAGCCCTATCTCTTCCATCTTCCAAATCACAGGGAAGGGGCACAGCCAGTGCTTGGAGAAGATGAGCTAGCTAGCACAGCCTCAAGTCATTTGTGAGGGGCTTGGCCTAGCTCAAGGGTTTGGCCTGACCTCAAATCCCTTCCACCTCTCACCCCAAAGTAAGTTTAAAAAAAAAAAAAAAAAACATGTCCTTTCAGCAAAAATGAGCAGGCACCCAGCTTGTCACCAATTTCTTACAGGTGCTTCTACAGCTAGAAGGCAGGAGTAGCTCTAGAGGGAGAAAGACAAGAGCAGAAGGAGGGACCTCACAGTGCAGTGATGAAATACCAGCCTTAGAAAACTGTTCATGGGTGAGGCCCATGTGCATCCCCAGATACATGCAATGGATCAAAAGGTCTTAATGGGCAGGAATTTAGTGTTGAAACCTCAGTGTTTGGGACCAAGTAAGGCAGCAGAATGAAAAGGGAAGGGAAGCCCACATGTGGCCAGGTGAAGCCAGAAAGACACAAAGTGCAGAGGGAAGGCCTCTGCTGTCCTCTGGCCTGCAATCTGGGCCCACAGTGACCCCTTGCTGGGCCACACCCACGGGTTGCCATGTTCAGTCACCAAAACGTGAGATTTCCCCTTAAATGGAGATTGGGCATGTGGGAATCAGTCTGGCCAGCCAACCTGGCTCAGGTGGTCATGAGGGTCAGTCTAAGTCACTCTGGGCTTCTGAGTTATTTTTGAGGCAGAAATACAGAGCATCTTTGAGGACACCTGCTCTGTCTGTGGGAAGGTGGACAAAATGCTCAAAATACAATAAAAGCAAGGGTCAGGACCTAAAGGGGTCTCACTCCCTGTTTCTCTGGACTCCCTATGGGGTGCCTGTCTGCAGGATTTCTGCAGAAGATAGTCCATTTTGTTAAGCCTTTGAATATTCAAATTGAAAGTATCGCGCAATCATTGATTGTCAAATCATGGGTTTCTAGAGGTTTTAAATACTTGGCATGAGGGGGGAAAAACTCAAACCTATACCCGAAGGTATAAAACATTAATTCTGTGTGTCTCCTGCTCCAGGGACCTGGGTGCAGCCAGATGCTTTGTGAAACTTTAAAAATGTCGCATCTCTGCCTTTCTCCCTGCACAGGAGCCCTCCTAGGCGCAGAGTTCCTGCAGCTGCAGCATCCAGCCTGCGACCCAGTTCCTGCTGACCACGATGTCCGGTAATTCGGCTGCTTCTTTGGGGGTCGGATCATGCGGGCCAGGGGCATTTCGATCAGGGTGTATTTCCACAGCTTTTCCTGCATACAACAGAGAGGCACAAAGTCAGAGCACGCCAGTAAGGGCCGGGCAGGATCCGGAGAGGGCGCGGGCCAAGCTGTGGCCGCTCCCACTTGGTGCCTGCTCCCCAGAGCAGAGGCCCAGAGCTCAAGTTGGCCGCTCCGGACATTGGAGTACCCCAGGACCCCCGCCCTCCCTCCCACTTTTCCACCGTCTTGACTTGGGACTTCGCGGCGCGGACCTTGCGCGCCCAGAAACGGCGGCGCGGGGGAGCTAGAGGTTCACCGTGAGCCGGTGACGCGAGCAGAGCGCATCGGTAGCACAAAACTGGGCTGTGGCGGTCTCTGTGTCGACCCCAAGACGCGTCTACTGCCCGTGGAGCCCCGAACCGAGCGAGGAAGTGGGAGCGAGAGGAAAGGAAACTGAATACGGAGAGGGCGCGGCGCCTGGGCTCTGCGGGCCAAGAGCAAGATTCCCTGGGTCTAGGAGAAGAAGAACGCGACCCTTTTCCTGGGGAGACCCTATCTCTGGTCTGGGGTGAGGGGTTCCCTGCTATCCGGCTGCGGTCCCTGCAGTGACCAGGCGAGGCGCTGGCGGTCTAGCACTGTCACCAGATGCCCAGGCTAAACGCACTGCCGCCCCCAGCCGCTGCACTCGGCCCCACCCCGCGCGATTCCCAGACGCTCACTCCAGGGTCGAGGTCAGGGCAGGAGTCCTACAGGGCTCCTCGGCCGATCCCACCTCTAAAGCTTGCCCGGCCCGGCTTGGCCTTACAGCCTGCCCGGCCTACTCACTGCAGCTCTGCAGGGCCGTGGCCTTCCCTACACGGCGCTGGGGTCCCTCCGGCAGACCTCTGCGGCGCGCATCTGGCCATTTCGACTCGCCGGGGCAATCCGCCTGGTCCAGCCAGCTCAGGGGTGGCTCCTCCTAACGATTGCGCGGTCCTCGGAAGCCTCCGGACGGCTTTTCCCAGAGCTCGCGCTGCGCGGACTCTCCCCCAGGATCCGTGCGCCGCTGGGAAATGCCTGCACCAGACAGGGAGGGGGTGGGGAGAGAGGGGAAGAAGGGGAGAGTTAGAGCAGGGCCTAAGGAGGGAGGAGGAAAACGTGGAGAGCGGGAAAGGCGGAGAAAAAGGGCGAAAGAGAGATGGCAGAAGAAAGAGAGGAGGGAGGGAGTGGACCGGGATCCTTTACTAGGTTCTCTCTCTGGTCCCACCGGCCCAGGTTAGGGCTGACCAAACCAAACTTTGTCCCAGGGCTGGCTTCCAGGCTAAGGGCACGTAGAGGTCGTAGCCTCCCCAGAAGTCAGGCCTGGACTGGGGGAGATGGAAGAGACTTAACACTAGTGGGAACATCACGGTGAAGTGGGCTTCAGCTGCTATAAATCAGATCCATAATACCTTCTCCCAGCAGGCTGGACCCAGAACCCCAGGATCTCCCACCTTAGCCAAGGTGGTGGGCAACCCTGAATTGGCCTCCATATTCCTGAGCAGAGACACCTGTGTGCTATTGTTCTAGGGATGGGCCCAGCCTGGGGTGGATGACTCCACAAATTTCCATGTGTTCTGTTCCCACTGGGGCCCTAGAAATTGCTCAGCCTCTCTTCATCCTTTGAAATTTCTGGCTACCTTAAACTATCTTTTAGCATTCTCATTGTGTTGTCCAAACCCAGAAACTTGGCCTTGGTGGACACAGCCTCTAAAGGGGGTCCTCATTATGCAGCCTGGTACCAGACCTTGGATTTGACCACTAACTCAGTTGCCTTTTCCCAGAAAAACCGAAGGTGTATCAAGGTGTCCGGGTGAAGATCACAGTGAAGGAGCTGTTGCAGCAAAGGAGGGCACACCAGGCAGCCTCAGGGGGAACCGTAAGCATGAACCCCTCATTCCCTCCCCAGCCCATAATAGACCTCATTCAGCCCTATACTAGGAAGGTGTGGAAGCCACCCCCAGACCCTGCCTTCCTCAGATGTTCTTATAACATCTATGCCCAACTTCATCCCAGTTCACCCCAGGAAGCCACAAAGAACAGGTGGGACATGTTGTGGGGATCAGGATTTGGGGCAGTTCATCTGTCACTGGTCAAAGTTGGGTATAAAAGTCTTGTTGGTTCTCTTCAGGAAAAGAGTCAGCCAGGTAAGTAGATTGTTGCTGTTTTAGGAAGACAGTGTAAGTCCAGCCCTCACATACCCATGGAAAATCTCTCCTAGAAATTTACCTCATATAGGGGAGCCCTTCCAGGTTAACCTATCTGTGAACCATCTTTCCCACCCTCCTTATTCTTCTGGAACTCAGCTTCTGAGGTCATTTGTCTGTAAATCACTAGTCACTGAAGTTCCCAACACAAGAGAGCCGTATCTCTGGCGTATACATAGAACTGCTTCCTTAAGATGTATGGAGATCCAGGTTATTACAGAATTGGTCTGGGCAATCATAAGGTACCCTGACATACTGTATTCCTTTCTAAAGCACAAAGGATTGCTTAGGGAAGGGGCAGAACCCAACAAAAATGAGCGGAAGTCATCTCCCAGGAGAGGAGCTCTTACTGAAAGCCTCCATAGACAGTACATTGCTTGTGGGTTGGTTTGGGTGTGGAGGATCAGGCAGCTGGGGCTGGTATTGCCTCTATTAGGATTGGTCCTTATCCAACCTGTAGGCATATGCCCTATAACGGTTTTTGTGCCTGGTGCTGATTATGTTCAATGTCCAACTTCACGAAATGGGCTTTTGGCAATGAATCTCCTGAAATGGGAGGAGGCAAAGTATGTAGGAGTAGTGAGACAGGTTTCAGAGCCAGACGGCCTGAGTTCAGATCTCAGCTCCTCCATGGTCTGTATCCTCCAGCAAATTACTCCATCTTTCTTGCCTGTTTCCCTTTATCTTTTAAATTGGGGATAACAGGATTTTGTAAGGATTCAATGAGCTATTGCTTGGAAGAGTGGTTTCCATACAGTGAGTGCCAATAAATATTATCTGGGGAAAGAAACTTAAATAAAATTACAACCAGGGATTGAAAGTCAGCTATTCAATAATCTTAATCTAACCCTCTGTTCAGAGTTTAGAGGTCAGGTGTGAGTTTGCTGTGAATTTGTAATACAGCTAAAGAAGTTAATATCTCTGCCTGCAGGATTTCGGGTCACTAAAAATTCATTACATTTATACAAGGCTTCACAGTGGTTCTTCATTAAAAGTACTTTTGCACACTCATTGTTTCATTTAGTTTATATAATAACCAGAGGGGATAAGTAGATCAGAAATCTGCATTCCTCTATTATAGCTAAAGTTCACAGTCTTTCAGTTGCTACTGGTTGAGCAAAAGGTAGGACCAAGGTTGTTTTATATTTAGTATTATATTTAGTATTAAAAAACCTTCCCACCTATTGACTCTCTAAGTTCTCTTTCAGAAAATCCATCCATACTAAGCAGGAGTTTGGTAACCTTGATCCTTTCAGTTCAGAGATGGTTATATATAATTAATAAAATTAGGTCTGAAACACCCTCCCCCTCCCCACTGTCCCAGTCAAGATGTTCAGTACAAAACAATATCTTTCACTAATGAGCTTTGATACTTCTAGAATTCTGCCTCAACTGCACCTGCAGAAATCCCATTTGGGCAAAGCAACTTTATTGCTATAGGGTCCTTACAGACTAGTTTAACCACTGTTCCCTTGTTAGCAAGCTACAGAAGGTAAAGCAAGTGTAAAGCATTTCATTTGTGTATCCAATCAGTATCCCTGGAGCAGTTAAAACTTACTTTTTCTGAATCCCCACTCCCAACATAAAAATACACACACACACACACTCCTGGGGAGAAATAAAGCAGGACTCCTGACCCAGCACCTTGCAGGAAAAATACTACTTTGCTTCCTGGAAGATTTTGTCAGCCTATTCCCTCACAAGCACGTATAAGTAACACATAATTTCAGAAGGTGAGCCAGATATAAAATCCCTCACTGGGAGCCATCAGAAGGATCTGAGATTCTAGGAATGCTGCAAAAGTATATTCAGTAGGCAAGGATGGCAAATACCCAAGGGTAATTTATGCCTGCTCTTTGGTGTAGGTAAGCCTTTCTAGCTTAACGGAGATTATCTTCAATTGTTCAATTGTTAAAGGACACCTCTGGGAAACTTTAAGCCAAAGAGAGAATTAATAGTATCAAATATTACAAAACAGGAAGAAATTTATCTTAATTTGTTGTAAAGTCAGAGTAGTTTCCACAGTTAAAAATTTAAGCATGAAAACATGAAGTTATAGTTTGAGAGAAATATCCAGATCTCAAGCAGTGCCAGAGAAACTATGTGCATGTGCATGCCAGACTGATAATTTAACTTAAAAACACTGTCAACCAGATTAATTTGCAAATACTATCTCTATCTCTATCTATCTCTATCTCTCTCTCTCTCTCCCTCTCCCTCTCCCTCTCTTCCCTCTCTCTCTCTCATATACAGACACATTTCTTTTATCTTCAGGGTAAAGAGATAGTACTTATCAAAATATATAATTTACCTTTTTTTTAATCATTAGTTTGTTTTTTAACAGCCTTGATGTGTTTTTATAAAGTAGAGATTGTAGGTATTGTGCTGTTTGAAATCTAAGAGAAAGGTACTTTTCTTTTTATTGTTGGGGCAAAGTAGAAAGTGAACCCATGACTAGAAAGATAATATCAAGTAGGATATTGTAAACATACCTCGGGGAGATAACAACAGGATAACAGGGAGCAGGCAGACAGGCCAATCCAGGGGAGAAATGGGGTTAAAGAGAGCTCTACAATGAAACAGATTTTTTAAAACCCACTCCTTCCAAGTCCTCCAACTCAAGCTGTAGCCAAATATTTGCATAAAGAGCTGGTAAAGGATTCCAGCTTCCTGGTTCATGACATTACAGCATGGATCATTTTCAGAATGAACACCACCTCCTGTTTCAGCAGTGGCTGACTGTGCAGTTCTCCCAGTAGCTCAGTGTACGGAAGTGAGTATGCCCTGGAACCCAAGAGAGGTGTGGTGAGATCAACTTCCCAGACCAGAATCCCACAGCAATGCTGTCCCTTTAAAATTTAAAGCTGCCGCCTGAAATCTTTAAAAAAAAAAAAAAAAAATCCTAAATTACTCCATTAGTATAATTATCCATTCAACAGGAAAATGCAGGCTGCTTTGCTGTAAATAGTTTAAAGGCACAGTTTCATAAACATTAAATTTAAAATACAGTAATGAAAAGAGCAACATTTATTTTAAAATGATAAAAAACATATAAGAGTTGAAATATTTCCTGACCTTAGACTAGAATATCGATTCTACTTCAACTGTTGTAATCAGCTTCAACTCCTGATTACACCTTTAAGAAAATATTTTCTATTTTAATAGTTCATAGATAGTAAGACTGTGAATATTTTTTAACAAAGGCTTAACAAAGTTAGGAATTATGTTCTTTCAGAAAAATGTATTCCTAAGACTAAGAAATCAGATATTATGTGAAAATTGAGGAAAACAACTAAGTTCTAGTTGAATTATATAAATGTGACTCCTCACTAATTAGAAACTAAATAGTTTAATAGGAAGGCACTTTGTTGAGTTTTCTCAAAGTGTTACATTTCTGTAACATAAAATTATTTTTATCAAAATTAACACTTAAAAATTAAGTGTATCAAAATTTAATATTAACTTTCTAATATCATGAAAAATATCCAAGCAAACAAAAAACATAAAAGTTGAATCTAAAAAAAATATATATATAGCATTGGTTGTATTTAAGGGAGACAACCTTTTTTAGAAGAAAGAATCTGGCTTACCTTACAGCAGCAGGAAACAGTTCCCGTCCGAGTCTTAGCTTTCCCTGTATGATATGCTTCTCTTTGCTTCATGGTCATATTCTTGCTTTGGCAGTTGTCCGGAGGCACCAGTATCCACCTTTCAGATCCAGTCGCACCATCTTCTGCAGGTCAGTACAGCCCGCATTACAGTTCCCTTAAAAACTTTCAAAAGTCCATCTCAAAGGTCTTCCAGTGCTTGATTCAGGGGTTAAGATAGGCACCACCATTTAATTGGAATCCAACCAATCAGAAGGTGAAAAAGGCATAGTGACTCCAGATGCAAGCCCAGCAAGGAAACTAGTGCAGGTTTTTGCCCTCATTTCTGAACTGTCTCTTCTCTGCTGCCTGTTCTGTCCCAAGACCATGTTCTTCACATTTATCCCAGTTTTTCATCTGCAAGTAACCCAACTTGATTACAAGATGAATTTTTTTAGAATATGTTATATATTTTTTTAATGCACTAGTAGTTGGAATATAGAACATCCTGAGACACTAAAATATGTTTTTGTTCTTGCTCATTTAGCTTCTAGCCGACAGGGGCTTCCCTCCCCTTCTTTTCTCTCTTCCCAGAAAGCAGTTCAAACAAGTGTAAGTTTTCCCAGCCCAATATGAATAAATCTATTACATAAACAGTCCTTCCTATGCCACTGCAGGTAAGAGTTTAAGAAGGTCATATATAAGAAAACCTGTGCTGATGGTGGTTCCCACTGAATGTGTCACTTTAACTTAAAGGAACTTGAGATTTAAAAAAAGAAGAAGAAGAGAGAAAGAAAGAAAGAAAAATTCAATATCCTTGAGCCCCTTTTGTGGGCATACTCCAAACCTCTCTTTCTTGAGCACTTAAGGATAATTATCACATGTCAGTCCTATTAATACTAAAATGGAAAAGGAGTGATGTTTCCGAATTGTTTTTGTTTTGTATTTAACATGGTTTTCAGTGTACTCTCCTGTTAACATGTCCACTAAGAAAATGCTTTGCTTTTTGTAATTTTAAATAAGTAGCACTGTTTTCCATAAAGAAGTTTCTGGTTTCCATTTTTATCCTTTGCATCATCATTCATGTCACTTCTCAAAACCCTCTCCTCAAAATTTAAATTACTAAGTGTGAAAAATTTGTGAAGACAATAACCCTGAATCAAGAGAATTATTTCCCACAGCATCAGAAGTTTTCTTAAAGCCTTGAACATACCTCTGATTTACTTCTAAGAGGGTTACCTGAATTACAGATAGGGACAGGCTATTGATGCTTTTGTAGTCCGTGTTGGCAGAGGCTTGAACCATTATTCCACTTTGACACTTGGACACAGGTCAGGCCACCATGCCTCATTTTTACCCTAGCCACACTGAAAGCCAATTGCCACAATGTTAATCAGATTCATTTCACTAATACTTGAATTAACTAAGATAACTAAAAAGTTACTGCCTACCTGTTTACTTTTCTGGAATTTCTTAAGTGCCTTTCCTAGAACAGTAACTCTTTAAAATTTTGAAGAAAACTCCATTCAAATCCATTTTGCAATTTTGCAAAAAAAAAAAAAAAATTCTCCTTCTCTTCTAGGATTGTATTTTGAGCCTGAATCAATGTCTTCCACACCAAATTATTTTCAACCCCGAGAATTTAACACTTGTGTTTCTTGTGAAGAAAATCCAAGCTGCCTGGACCAGATCTTTGATTCCTATCTTCAGACTGACACACTGTCAGAGCCATTGCCCAACTGCACGCAAAGTCCTCCACACTATTTCCCAGACAGCTTCCCGGCCACTCCTTTCTGCTTTAACCAGAGCCTGGTAATTTATCTTTATTTTTCATACAACCTGATTGTTGCTAACTCTGGGTAGTGATGCTTTGTAAGAGTGTGTGTCATCTCCTGAGAAATTATACAAAGTCTATCAACAAGGAAACCATCCAGAAACAAGGAATCATTTAAAATTCAATGTATAAAGATAGTCACAGTTGCAGAGCCTAAGCCTTTGGATACACAATTATGATTTTCCAAGTAAGTTGATATGTGGCAATAAAAAGGTTTCCTGGTAATACTTAATGTTTTTTAAATTGTGAAGTTAAAACATCTACTAATTTGGAAATCGGTAGTTTAAACAATGGCCCTTGGATTTTTGAGATCTTGAAAACAGGATTAAGGCTGCTTGTACATACTATGAAATTTCATTCAGATAAAGGGGTTTTGTTGTTTTGTTACTGAGTTGACTCCAATAACTGGTTATTTGGATCTGCCGTAGGCATAGGAACTCATTTGGGTCTGAGATGGTTAGTAAAAATGAAGCCTAATCTTTTAATTAATTTGAATTTTGTGTTCTAGATAGATCTCAAGTGTTTGAAAATGTGTCATCTTTTTAAATTAATAGATATTAGTTATTTTAGAAACTCATAATTTTTAAAACTTTAAAGTGTTTCTTTTTCTTTTTGAAGAAATTTGAATACTTTTTTATTTTGATTTTTTTCAGACGTCTATATGGGCATCAGACTAAATTTTAGAAGGAATTGAAATTAACACTACAGAATATGTATATTATTATGGGGAAAATACTGGGCCCCAAACACCTATTGCCCTTCTAAGAAAGCCTTCAAGTTTCTCGGTGACTTGCATAAAGAGAAGGAAGTGTGTACCTTTTTCCTCAGGGAACAAGACTTGTGTGATGGGAAGTAGCCTAGAGGCTGGGTCCTATTGGATCCAAGTTTTCCCTGGGCAGGTTCCGTGTTCACCTGGTTCTTCTCCATCAAGGGTGTGGAGAAATATCCAAGGTGCCACCTGCCCCTTATATTGTGACAAACAGCAGGATTCGATATACAGGTGATCCGAAGCACAATAGGATTTTGTGGTTTAAGAACAAAACATCCTCTAATATATGGTAATAACAAAGGAAGCCAGTAAAGCAAGGCAATTTATTGTTGGGAAAGAAATAGGTAAATACAGAATGTGGTATCATGAAAATATGTAGTCAGCAAATAAAATTACTTCTGCAGACTTGGGTTGGGTGTTTGGGGTTTTTACCCCTAATTTTCTTACTCTGTGTGAATAAATCCACGGTGCTTGCTTCTTTTGATCCTGTTTAAGTTACTGAGCTCTTTGCTCCTTGGTTTTCACTCTCTAGACCCCAGGATCACCTTCAGATTCCTCCACTCTCTCTGGCTCCTTAGACTACAGTTACTCACCGGCTCAGCTGCCTTCATACCCTCCGGATAATTACAGTTCTCCCCCTTCTCTGGACACCCTAAACCATGGCCATTCTCAGGAAGACTACTCCTACCATCATTTGCCCTCGCATGCCCAGTACAACTGCTTCCCTGCAGCCACAGCCTCCGTCTGCTACTGTGCATCCTGTGAGGCGGAGCACTTGGAGGCAGTCAGAACAGCTGAGTACTTCTACCCCAGCACCGACTGCATGGACTTCGCACCCTCGGCCGCCACTGCCAGTGATTTCTATAAGAGGGAAACAAACTGTGACATCTGCTATAGTTAATAGAAACAACACTAATTTGGAACATGGCGTGGGTATAGCTACTTTTCTACCACATCTAGATAACACTTTGCATTATGCAACCTGTTAACAAAATATCACAGACACAGTTTACATGTCACTGTTTTCAATTTTCTGATGCTAATATAGGTATTAAGATGAAGTCCTCAAACCTGGTCATAGTACCACGCCTGCTGTACAAAAAATGTCAACTCACAGTTGACATTTTTGTAGGGAATGTTCCATTGTTTTATTTTTCTGTATAACGAACAAATTCTCTCTTTTTTACTAATAAATAATTTTGCATTATTATTATATGCTGGGTTATTTTTTAAATTACCAACAATAATTTGACTTGATTTTTATCCAGTAGGCTAGGAAATTGATCACTAAACTTGAGTGGTCTCATCTTATTGATGATTTTAAAATTATTTTAGTGTGCTGAGATGCATGAGATGGAGGTTAGACACACTGTGAAGGTAATAAAGAGAAAATCTGCCCTGCCTCTAAATGAGGCTATTCATCAAAGAGCAGCATCAGAAAAAGTCATGGACTCATGTTTGCATATTGATTTATAGGACTGACTGTGTTATTCAAAACTGACTTTCAGAATTTACTTCCTCCAGTTAATCTGTTTGAAGAAACCCACTGTCTTTCAAGGTCCAGAATTACTTCAGCTACCTGTGCTAGACTCTACTATTAAATCTTGTTCACTGAGGACAATCAAAGAACAGGATTAATACCTGAAGTGAAGTCTTGAGGGGCATTTTCCATGTCCCAAGTTTCAGCATCATGGCAGTAATAACTGATACCAGTAACACCATAGCCACCATTTTTTAGCCCTTCCTGTGTGCCAGAATTGTCTGAGTTTTCTGGCATGTTATCTCATTTAGTCTTCATAATAGCATTGATAACAAAATGAGGAGTTTGAGGCTCAGAAAGTTTAAGTCACCTGCCCAGAGTTACCCAGCCAGTAAGCACCCAAGCTTGGGTCTGAAGGAATGCAAAGCCTGCTCCTTCCTCTCCAGTGGTTGAGCTACTCCTTGCAAAAGACTGTTCAGGAGCCTATAGGATCATTAAACCCCAGCTTTGTCATACAACCTTGTTCCTATCACAACTAAGTCAGTCTTCCCCAGAAGAGCTAGTCTGTCCCCAGGATATCAAGATGACAAACATAAAGCTGCCAGAGTCCTGTGATGTGGGGCAGGAGAGAAGCTGACCCACTGTCATAGTCACTCAGTGGGCTTCTTCCTATCCTGAGTCAGAGATGCTTTCCAAATGATGCCACCTGATTGTCCTTTCCCTGGAGACTTAACTGAGACTTAGGCAAACAGGACGAGTCCCAGCCTGCCTCATGGAATAGCTATGCCAGGAAAATAGAACAACCGCTGCCTTCCTGACATGCCAATAAAACTAGATTCTTAATGGCTTGAAACTTGCCTGTTGTCAACAAATACCTATTGACACAGACCAAGTCCCCTTAGTACACCCTACCCCACTCCAGCAGTTATCTCCAAGGACAAAGAACAGAGAAACCAAGGATGTTTAGTGTTTGGTACCAATATAGCCCTTTCCTGGATGCCCTTCTCCTCCTCCTCCTTCTCCTTTTTCTTTTTCTTCTTCCCTGGCTTCAATCCTCTGCCTTCTGAATTAATTATCTTGCAGCTCTAACAGAGATCATTTCCCAGCCCCCTTATTTCTCATTCTTTCTTCCCACACTTCAAGGACCCATTAACACAATCCTCATAGCTCACAAATACTAAATTCTTTCAATAGGCCAGTGCTGGGGTATTATCTCATGTAATCCTCAACGCATCACATAAGATACATATTATCATTGTTCTCATTTCTATAGATGAAACTGAAGTTTGGAGAGATGAAATAAGTTGCCCAAGGTCACATCACATACAAATCAGTGTAAGAGTTGTCTAACTCAAGTTACCTGATGTTACAGTCTGAACTCCCAAAGGCCTCAATACACTTCCCATGCACTATACTTGGAAGAATAAACTTTTTGGAATGTGCTCTTTTGCCTTAAATTTCACATGTATATCTGTAGCCAGTTCCTCATGCCATAGACGCATCTAATAAAATTGCAACTGGAAGTTTAAATGAATGAATAAGAACCATTAGACTAATTAAACAAAATGTTAAGTGCTTACCATATGTAAAACTGATCACATGCCTTCAAAATACAAATCACAGTTTTAAAAAGGAGTTGATTTTAAAAATATAAATCTGCCAGAATTTCAGTTCGGATGGGTATGGGCTGATTGTATCAAACTCCTGGGAAACTTAAGGGTCAACTCTTGAAGTCAAGAGGTGAGATGAGACAAAACTAAATGCAGTGAACACTTAGAAACTGTTACCTTAAGCAGTGGCCAGAATGGGACATCTTGGCAGCTGGACCAAGCCTGCAGGTGAACATTTGGGAGCTATGTGTAGATATATAAGGATGACCAAAGTGATAGAGAGAGGAGAGAAGGCTTTTAGCTGATTTTTTTTAAAAAGTCTTTAAAAATAATGTCTAGTTAGAGAGATGAAAGTTCAAAAAGATTTGGAACAAGCCCAGTGGAATTATGAATTCTATTAATATAATCCTGGACTCACTATCATTACAAATCAGCAGAGCTTACATAACTAACCCCTGTGTGACCCACTGGTGAAGCTGCTCAGGAAAATGCCCATCCCCACACCCCTGGCCTCTCTTCCTCCTACAGATAAGAGTATGGAGATGATGCCCCACTGAAGAACAGGATTGGGTCAACAGGCTCTCTCAAACTCAGGGCTGGATTTTATGTGGACAGAGGGTGGCCATTTAGGGCCTGGTGGCTCTGCTCTAATTGGCCTCATTCCTTATGCTCCAAGAGGCCTTTGGAAAGATGAAGGGGCTAGAAGATGAACACATCTAAAATACAGCTTTGCATGTGTCCTAGATCATACTTTAGGAAACAGTTTCGTTCGTGCTGGGCTTTGGGAAAATATGCAAGTTGGATGTGTGTGTGTGTGTGTGTGTGTGTGTGTGTGTTCCATTGGTTGTCGCCTGGAGAATAAGGAGGGAAAGGGAGATATCGTCCCCTTACCCTGTCAAGATTGGACCTAAAGTACCACAGCTCACCTGGGACTATCCTGGTGAAGCCACGACCCTCCTCTCCTACTGCATAATTTTTGGTTGATTAACTCAGATTTTGAGAAGAGCTTTGCTTGTGTTACTGAAATCCTAGGAAAGTGTGACTCTTAAGGAAGGATGAGTTAGAGGGTAAACAGCACTTTCCCTGCAGTGGCTCCAGTACTGAGTCCCACTGTGGATGTGCAAAGAAGTTCCATGTGAGGAGGACTCATCTGAGGGGAGGGAGCTCGGCTAAGCATTGAGGTGCATTTTCCAGGTGAGCTCCCTGTGAAAGGTTTAAGTTGAGTCTGCTTTTCTCCTGGACTGTAAGCCCAGTCCTATTGGGCATTATGTTTTAATTTTTCCCCTCCCACATTTTGATCCTCATTGCTTAACTCCAACTGTTCAGTAGAGTCTGATTTACCATGGAACTTTGAGAGAAAGTCAACAGAATACAAAGACTCTAAAGGGAGCATCTTCCCTCCCTGTTGAGACCCATATGGAGCTGGTAGTACCTTCTTTCGGGGACTTGGTGGAGGGCTCTCAGGAAGTGACCTGCAGCTGGTAAGCAGTGGCCCTTGGTGAAGGTCACAGTCATGGAGAAAAGCATCAAGTAAGAAGCAGCAGCTTATTGATACAGCTAGAGGAGAATGATGGCTGAAATTGAAGGAGTCACTCAAAGAAGATCTAACTTTAGGACAAATACAAAATTGTTGCCCAGTGTATGATAAACTTATTGTCTCACCCTACATGATGAACATCTAAGTGGTTGCAAGAGGTTTAGATAAATTAGATTGATAATATTTTATTGCTAGAAAGGGACCTAAAGATCATCTACTGCAGTGGTCCTCAACCATGGATTCATATTACAATGACCAGAAGAGATTTAACAATCACTGATGTCCAACTTATCATCCAAGACCAACAGATCACCATCTCTCAGGTGGGATTCAGGCATTAGGGAGAAAAAAATTAACTCTGTATTTTTAAATTATAGGAAGTTGCACAAACAATACAGAGAGTCTTATGTGCCCTTCAACAAACTTTTCCAGTAATGACTGTCATCCTAAATATCTATAGGACAATATCAAAATCAGGAAATTAACATTGGTACAATATGTTAACTAGGCTGTAGATCTTATTCTGTTGTCACCATTTTTCTCTGCAACAAAAATTAAAAGTTTTTAAAAACTTTCCTGAAGATTCTAATTTGAAGCCAGTGTTGAGAACTGGTAACGCAATCAAGCTAACTCTCCTTTCACAAGGAAGGAAATTGAATCCAGGGTGGCAAAGTGACCTGTCCAAGGACAATTCCATCTTTGGCAAGGAAGACAGCTGACATTTCTATTCTAGTATTCTTTGCTCTACATAAAGTTACCTCTGCCCTTTGTGGTTACAAGCTAATGATGTGCTACAGCAAAAAAAAAAAAAAAAAAAAAAAAAAAAAGAGCTGTTCTGGGGAAAGGCAGGAGGTAGAAGAAGTATGTGCTTAATTTTTGAAGTTACCCTACAAGATAAACATAAAACAACTCTTGGTAGTCCTTCCAACCTCATAGGCTATTGAAAACCATTTTGGAGAGTCATAAACCAGGCATGGTAGTACATACTATAATCCCAGCAAGGCAGGAGGATTGCAAATTTGAGGCCAGCCTTGGCAACTTAACAAGACCCTGTCTCAAAATAAAAAGGGATATGGGATGTAGCTCCGTGACAGAGCACCCTGTGTTCAATCCCTAATACCACAAAAATAAATGTTATGGTTTAAATATTAAGTGTCCCCCAAAAGCTCATATGTAAAATAATGAAAAAATGTTTAGAGGGTGAAATAGGTTATGATGGCCTTAATCTAATCAGTATGTTAATCTACTGGGGTTTATATTTTGTTTGTAGTGAGGGGACCTCCCTCCGCCTCTCCTGGTGCCATGTTCCCAGCTGCTTTCTTCCCCACATCCTTCTGCCATGATCTTATCTCAGGTCCCAAGGAATGGAGTCAGCTGTCTATGGACTGAGATCTCTAAATCCATGAGATCCAAATAAAATTTTCCTTCTCTAAAATTGTCAGGTCTTTTGGTTGCAGCAGTGAGAAAGCTGACTAAAATAATAAGTAAATAAATAAAAGAGTCATAAAAAGTATGAGCTCTGGACAATAGCTAACTCCCTCATTTCAGCCCAATGTTTGTTATTGTCAGAGAATTCTGGCCTGAAAGGATCAGGGGTCTGACATCCAATGGAAATTCTTATATTCTTTGACTTTCTCCACTTCCGTGTAGCTCCTTTTGCTTGCTCAGTGTTGCAGACTTCTGGCATCTGGGAACTTGTGGTAATACCTGTTAATATGACCTTCTATCATGTTCTCCATTTTCACCATCAGCCAGGCAGGTAGGAGAGCTTGCTCACACTGTGGGACTCAGAATCTTAATTTTCTGTGTTTCCTGACCTGAGTAAGACGTAGGAAGTTTTCTTCTTCTACAGTTACCTGTTCTTCAACACTGGGAGCTGGGAGCTGCTCTTCAGTCAAACGCAACACATTTAGAGGAGAACATGGAAGATGGCCCCTGTGTGAGTGACATGGCTTCAGCCCAAATACTTCTCAGCCTGAGCACCTCACCTTTCTTAGTATATCCTCTGCATACCACCTTTGCCTGAAACAAACTCATGCCAGGACATCCATCTAAACTTGAACTGGGGCTGGGGAATTGGCTCAGCAGAGCACCTGATTGGCATGTGTGAGGTCCTGGGTTGACCCAGCACCAAAAAAAAACAAAACGAAACACACACACACACAAAAAAAAAACTAGAGTCTAGGACCAGGAAGATTGAGGGTCTCCAGAAATGTGTGTGGCAGATCAGAACCCTGGAGCTCATAAGTCCACCTGACTCTTCTCCTCTGCTCCATCCACTGCTAAGGCAGCTTCTCACTGTCAGTTTGAGGAGTCAGACATTCATGAGGAGGTTGTCCTCCCACTCACTCACTAAGCAGAAGTACACATAGGCAGCGGGAAAATCTCTACGCAGCTCCTTTACATTTCTCTTCAAAGAGTTATAAACAGTCACTGGCAGCCACACTGAAAAGGCTGAGGCATTCCCTCTGTCCCCTACGTTTCACAAGGAGGTAAAAGGAAGGGTCAAAGCTACAGTGGGCTTGGCTGCCTTTCTCTCCAAGGCTTCATCTCCCCTCCTGCCAGATGGCTGGAGAAGAGCCCTTGCTTGGTGAGCAGCCCTTCATGCCCCCCGACCAACCCCCATCCCAGCACATCACCTCTTGTTGGCTGGGGAAGCAGGAGTTCAATAATTAATCAGAGGAGTCCATCTGTGGAGGACCAGTGGAGCCTTGCGTTCTGGTTAGCCATGCGGACCTGAACCATGGTGTTCCCTCCCACTCCCGCTGCAGGAGAAAGAGAGGCTCGTTTCTGTGATTCTGCTTCTTGCAGCGGAAAGTGTGGGTGTCCAACTTCCAAAATTCTGTATCCATTTCTACCTAAAGCAGTACAGTCCAGACTTAGTATTCTAGAGCCAGAAAGACCTGGGTTTGACTACATGTTTCACCACCAGGTTAAGACAAGTACCTTAACCTCTCTGGGCTACAATTTAATTGCCAAAGAACACAAATCAATGGAAAATACCCTACTCATTTATAAACCCCTTCAAAACCGGTTTCATCCTGGAAGCAACCTGTGGGGTGTTATTTTTCTTACACTGACTACAAGGTCACTTCAGTTGCCACCTCAGAGTCAGGTCACATCACCCAACACAGAAAACCTAAGACTTTTTCAAATTTTCCAAGACATTGAGACAAGGCACCATTCTATCTTGGAGGAATAAGTACATCATTAATAGCACTGAAATCCAAGAAGAAGGCTATTTGTTTTTGGAAAGGCTTCCCTATCTAACTGCTTTTAGTCCTCTCCTCACCCTTAGGGAAGAAAAAAAAAAGTCATGCTTTTGCTGACTTCAATAGGTCACCTCTGCAGATGGGACCTCAGTTGTTTTTGCATATGCTGCGTACCAGGTCCCCTCTTAGACCACCTCCATGTATTACTTCACTCGGTTCTCATAGCCAGTCAATGGGATGTGTTTTATTATCCCATTTCTGGATGAGAAAACTGAGATTCAGAGAGATTAAATCAAATGCTCAAGCCAGTAGATGAACATAATTTAAACCTAAACCTGTTAATCCCATAACCTATTATCTAGCCTATGTCCTTTTTCCATTAGGAAAGTTTCTGGATGCTTTTGACCTAGCCTTCACCCCCACTCAGGGTTGTCCTTCAGCAGAATGGCACCATTCACTCTGAGAGCAAAATGTTAACTGGAAAGCTCTGTAGGAAAATGTGGTAGAGAAGAGACAGTAACGAAGAGATTTTGATCAGATATTATCATTATCTCTATGAGAAAACTGTAATTTCACATGGTACCTTCAAACTGTTATTTTAAATGTCCTAAAGAAGAACAGAAAGGCCACCATAAGGAGCATTATTGGAAAGAGCTTGAAATTACTAGGCTGTTCCACATTCAACAGACATTTACATGCTGTTAATAGCTATGAAATGCTGCCCAGCCCTACGCAGGTGGAAAGGTAATTATGACACATCTCTGTTGTTAAAAGCTTATAATTCTATGTGAAATCTATACAGTAGATCAGAAAAGATGCAAAATTCGAAGAATAGAAAAGAATGGAAATACAAGTGTTACCAACTCTAAGTATTTAGTAAGTAGTTGCTATTTTTGTTCTTCTAATAAGTACACACAGATGGCTTAATGCTTTTGTTGGGTGATGTTAAGGACCTCATCTAGTGCGGTAAATCCAAAAATCTCTAAGTGATTTTTTAGCCTGAACACAGGTAATACTCAATGGATATAATACTTGAAGTATTCCCAGGTATTTGTTTTCAGGTAAACTTTACCCTTTAAAAGAACTGCTTTTCCTTGCTATCTATGTTGACCTTGGATGATTTACTTAATTTCTGCATGCCATGCTTCTTTTGCTCTAAAATGAGGGTGAGAAGAGTGTTTACTTCATTGGCTTGTGAACATCAAATGAGATAATATGTGAAAAGCATACAATCAAATGATCAGTTGTCAGGAGTTACATCATGAGTGGTTAAATATTTTTTACATAATAAAAAATGATGTTCCTGTAGAAAGAAAAGGAGGGAGTAGGCTGTGAATGAGTTCTCTCTGATTTCAGTTATTTTTCTCCTGGTAAAACCCAACTTGCTTTGGCTGCAAAACCCCTCCCCAGACCACGAGTGCTTGTCACATGCTCACCTGCACAACAATCACCTGGAGACTTGCTGAAGTGGGGAATCTGATCCAGCAGGTCTGGGCTGTGACCCCAGGTCCCACATTTCTGACAAGCTCCCAGCTGATGCTGATACTTCTCAACAAACATGTTTGTTCACCTGGTGACAGCAATGCAACTTATCCTAATGGTGTCCAGAAGGAAATAGTATGCTTTTGTAGAACTAATCTAGTTAGACCCAAACATATAAAGTGAAGGCAAACATCATAATCTTCTTGCAATGACTCATTAATTGGACAGCTTATTTTAGGTTGGATTGCTTTAGTTGAGGACCTTGTTCCTGAAAGCTTTCAAAAACTTCGAAATTATGGTTTTCCTCTGGAGACAGTAAAATACAAAAGAATCAGAGTCACTCCTGGGTTTGAATCCCTACATTCGTAAGCTTAGGTAAACTGCTTAGCCTTTCTAAGCTTCAATGTGCCTGTTCGTAAAATAGGCATGAGAATGGCATCTGCTTGGCCCCTCTTGTTAAGGACTCAGTAAAAACACACATGAAGCATTAAGCCCAAAGCCTGTCTATAGCAACAGCACCATCAGCACTAGCTGTTTAAGTCTCTGGTTTCAACTCAACACTTCCATGGAGATTTTTTGTCCCCTACTCTCATGGATCTGCATCATGGTCACAACCTATAGAAATGAAAAATCCAAGATTTTACCTTTAGAGACTGAATATGGCACACTTTTGTTGCAATACTACCCTATGATATGGAGAACTCATTTTTGTTTGTTTGTTTTTGTTCTTCTTTGAGAAAGATTGAGCTGGAATCTTAAGGCTCAAGAGATATTTGTAGTTTCGCCAGCTACTAAAAATTCTTGATGTCATCAAGGGAATAAAGAAATAAAGAGGAATCCCTGAAACTTGCCTACTTGGTATTCATAGCCATTTCTTACCTTCGAAAAGGGTCTGTACACTTAACCTAGCACCTGTGGTAGATAACACTGTGCTGAGAAGGCAGTGGCCATCAGGGCAGCAGCCAGCTCAAAGAACCAAAGACTGCATGGCAGGAGGGCTGGGCAAGGAAAGGCAGTGCTCTGCACCTGGTCTCTGCAGTATGGTCAGAGATCAGCAAGGTCACACCACAGAGAACATGTTGACAGTGTTTCTAGAAAGTCGCTGAACATGCTGACAGATCTGAGTCTCAGGAAATGGTTCCTAGCCTCAGGGAGCCCAAAATAATTTTTATGAGGCCAAATTAGGGTAGGGTCCGGGAGAAACAAAATTAATATATGTAAAGAGAAAAGGGGGAAGGTTGGGAGGAAGAGAGGAAAGAGAAAGGGGGAAATCAAGGAGGCAGATGTGGCTAGGGAACAGAGAAATAAAAGAAAGAGGGAAGGAAAGCAGAAAAGGAAAAAAAAAGTAAGGACACTATTCCATGAATATATCACAAATGCTACTTAAAAAAGAAAAAAACATGAATGTGCTAAAGCATGCATCTGACTCCTGGGAAAAGAAATGATTCACCACATAAGCCAGGAAGAAGAGATACACACACAGAGACATCTGATCACTTTGGTAGCTTATAATATTGGAAAACACAAAATCTGTTTATGGTTTGTGTCCCCTACAAATTTCATGTGTTGCCAATGTGAAAGCTAAGAATTGGGGCCTTTAAGAGATGATTAGGCCATGAGATGAATGGGATTAGGTCCCTTATAAAGGGGCTTGATACTTCACCCTCTTGCCCTTCTACCTTTTGCCGTATGAGGACACATCCTTGCTTCTCTCCAGAGAACAGAGGATTAGGTGCCATCTTGGAAGTAGAGTTGGGCTTAACAGACACTGGATTGTACATTTCTCAGCTTCCAGAACTGTGAGAAGTACATTTCTGTTCTTTTCAAATGACCCAGTTTCAGGAATTCTGTTATAGCAATACAAACAGGCTGAGACACACTCCCTTTTCTTAAAGGAAAGCTTAGAGAAATACTCTTTGTTCTCTATTCCTTTCACCTACAGCTCATGAAACTAGTGAAATGGCAGAAACCTGGATGGGGGGCAACAGCTAAGAGGTCAGCCAACTCCCATGACTAAGTCTGAAGTCTACAAAACTGTCAATCAAATCTGCTCTGAGCCTGAACCCTGCAACCATGACCTGTCTCTTTCCTTAGTTTTCTCTCCCTAGGTGCAGGCGGTGTTGGTATAGCTTGACTGTCCAAGTTTGGACAGGATTTTCCAAGTTTGGACAAGTTTAGGGCCAGGAAAACTCCAATAACTTGAGGTCTCAGATTCACATGCATCCTAACTGGCAGAAATCTCTTCCTGACCTAGCTCCTCTTCTCCCTCCCCAACACCTCATTCCAGTCAATGCTCACCTGCTCTCACTAATAAGTTCAAGGCTAAGTGAAGAAATGCTGCTAAGAATACACCCATAAAAACTATAGGGTCTCTTCCAGCCCCTCTCCCACTCTGAGGGGTCCTTCTGCTTTCTGAAACTCAGGAAAGCCCTGAATTAACCACAACTGCCCCCACCTTCCCCCCAACTTTGGACTATGTTTCCCTGACTAGGGCTTCAGAACTGGAGGCTGGTCAGCCAGCATTTTGATGATAAAGAGGATTTCAGGTTGAATTACTCAAAATCAAAAACCTTAGGCCTGTCTTGATCCTTCTCTAGTGACTCTCCATAAAGCCAGACCTGTCTCCTGTCTTTCCAGAAAATATCTCCATGGAAACTCCTTGTAGTCCATTTTAGAGCTTTTTTTAAAAAAAAAAAATAATAACTGTCCAGAAAAGTTTTACAACCCCTGAAACATTTCTATCTGCCACATCAGGTCCATGGCCACAGACCAATGGTGCCTCATTTAATTAGCCAACCTCTCATAAAGTGTAGGGCTTGGACCTGAGATTGTTCTGGGAGATACACTATGCAAATATCCCATTGGTTTCACCAGAGCACAGGAATTTAACTTGGAAAAACACAGTGACTGGGGAGCCAGAGGAAGGGCTCGGGGTCTCATACTGGTCAGTTGGCCCAGAGAGACCTAGCTGAGACCTTCAGCAGGTGGGACATGATGCTGGTGCCACACCTTGTCCTGGGACTTTTAGACAGTGATTTTGGCCAAGTACTTAAGCAATCCAAGTGTGTTTGCTAATCATAATAAACATAATAATGCCAACCTCATAGGGCTCTTATAAATGCCCAGTAAAAGAAAGGGTAAAGAAATGTAGCCCTTCTAACAGGAAGGAGGAGGCAGAGGGAAGTAAAGGAGCTGGCCCAAGTTCATACAGGTGGCAGGCAGCAGTGTAAACCCAGATGACACATTTTTGTA